AAATCGTGCCGTCACTATCACTATTTTTTTCAAACTGCAATTTCAATTATTTGGATAAAAATTAACTTTATAAATAGATTGTTTTCTAAGACAATTATCCAGTACAATTATAGTATTATTTATACAAAAATGATATTACAATTTAAAATAAAAATATATACAGAAATTATAACATTTACAATAATCATATTTTAAAAAATTATACACATAGCATGAATAGATATCATATGATAAATCAAATGTTAAAGACGCTAGCATTAAATATTTAATATAATTGACAATATTTAATATAATTGACTATTTAAATATCTCTATAATCGAAATAGTTTTACTAAATATTTTGGTTTCATTAATATTTTCATATTTCTTACAAAATTTAATACAATGATTCAATCTCATTAGCAGTGCTAATAAAATTCTTCAAAATGTTTACATAATGTATTTGTAAAAAATTTAGATAAATGTTCAAATGCTTACATAAATGCTACTATGCATAAACAGCAGTCTATTGTAAATCCTTAATAATTTAGGAATCTTTAATTCTAAAAGACAAAATTTCTTTTATTGTGAAATTTATTTAATTAATAATTTTCTACTTCAAATTTAAACCAGTTTTCTAAAAAGTTTAATTTGCTCATTTATATCGCTTTCTGAATAAAACGACAAAATAAATTATCGAATTTAAAAGTTTGATATCTCAAATATTATTGTCTAACACACTACCTCTATATCTATTTCACACTCGCACTTACAATATGTATATTTTATGAAATAGAATTTTTAATATATACAGTTCCTCCCTTGCTAACTGTCCAAATTCGATTGACGCTCACTTGATAAAATAGTACTATACGTAATAATAATTTTAATATTTCAATATTATAATCATGAGAATCTAAGTAAAACTATTATCTGGATCATAATGAGTTAGTGTTCAAACAATTTCACGAAATAAATAGAAAAATATATAGAAGAAACTCAGATTAACACTTTCACTTTAACATTAGCAACTACATCGTATTTCACATCAACGTGCTTCTTTTCAATTTTCTATACTGTAATAATCTGTATTACTATTTTATTAATAAATCTACACACATAAAAAAATACTGTAAAATATTTAACAAAATAATGAAATTTGAATAAATTTCTATTATCAGCGAAAAAAAAAATAATGAAATTTACAACTACAAATGTGAATTTACAAACTCACTTTAGTGCTGCACCTACTAATTGGTAAATTAAAAAATTGAAACTCACTAACTCGCACAAAATTTACCTACTCAAAGAATAACAAAGCATCCGCCACGCAAAATCGCTGGCGATTAACTGAATGTTCAAAGTGACACTGCGCGCATATGTAAGATCAGAAGCTGACGATATCTCAAGATATCGTACGATTCTACTGCTTTTTTTTTTGTCCCCTCTATGAGTGATCATATTAATCTATTTTCGTTTCCTTCTTTCTTCAACATCATATATTATATCCTTTACAATTTGAAGATTAAAATATAAAAATGTTCCCTACACTTATGTAATTATAACGACAAATTCTTTTAATCTTTCACATATAAATCTAGTAAATAAAATTAACAGATTTTAACAAAAAATTGAACAAAATTTATCTGAACATTTAGTTTTAGGATAACTTTTTAAGTTCTAACGTTAAAATATATCTCGATTTAATTTTTGCAAACTTTCTTTCCAATTTAGAAAATTTTTTACATTTAATCTATTGTTTAACAATTTTTCATAAAAGTTTTAGTTACATTTATCACTTAATTAATTACAATTAGCATTTCTTTTTTGTTTTAATATAAAATCTAAATTAAAAAATATATCTAAGTTCACATGCCAATATATCTACTGCTTCTTTATTTATTAACATAAAAGCAAGTAACTTTTACATTTCTTTTTTCATTACATATCACATATACACGATTATAAAATATATTGAAAATTTTGTCAATGCAATAATCATCAAAAAATCGTTCAAAAACATTTCATTTAATTTCAATTTTAATGTCCAAGTTTCAAGTATCATACGAGAATTAACTATTCATCACGTGACTTGTAACGCGATCAGTATCCTCCACGTGGACAGATAACAAAGGTTTTCAAACTCTTTTGATTATTATATAATTAACTCTTGATTTTATCACTCGAAGAATTACTGTACTTACTATATTTACGTACTTATAAAAATTTGATCATAATTAATGAATTTGCATAGAAAGAATATTAAGCTTTCAATGTTACAAATCGAATGAGTATTAAAAATTTTGAATGCTACAAATTGAATGAAATACTGTTTTAAGCAATAATCATGATTGTTATGAAGCTTAGTTATATATTAAAAGAAATAGCAGAGAATTAGTACTTACAACTATTTTGGAATTTACATCGATTGTTTAACTTGACATATATTTACAAGAGATTATTTCATGATAATCACGTTTTCATTCAATTTAGAGACTATGAAAAAATAATCACAATAATCATTATCTATTAATTTTTCAAATAATTTATTATCAGATGATAAATTTACTATAATATTAAATTTACTATAAATTTACTATAATTTATTTACTATAAATTTACTATAATTTATTTACTATAATTTTACATCTAATAATTTGTAATTTCACTAGCTAAAATTGATTCTAAACTTATTCGCAATTAGAAATTAATAACGTACGCTAGTTATTTAGATAAATGGAACATCTTTATTTTAGTAACTTTTTATTTACTCTTGACGAGAATGATTTTATTAAATTATAAAATTACATATAATAAATAAATTGTAATGATACTTATTTATTTTTAATATAATATTTATTTATTTATAATATAACAGAAAAATTTAATACCATGCAAAAAAAATTTCTAAGCGCATATTCATTATACTATACCTATATAAAACAAATCTCTATTTTAATTTCATTTCTACAATTACATCCATAAGAATATAAATACCTACATTTCCAAAGAATTTATAGAATAGTAAAAAAATTTCTAAATTTTTAATCACAAAAAATAGTTAAACTAATAATAAAGTTAAACTAATAATAGCTTTATAAAAGGTTCACGCTTATCTCTCCACTTATGACGGTCATCACTGAAATATAACCTTGATCTTTTCAAGTCAATTCTTAAAAATAAATTTTTTTTTATATTCTTTGAAAAAAAACACATAAAATATAAAAATGCAAATATCAAGTACAAAAATTATTAATTTATTGAATTTATGTCGTTTTTGCTTGGAATTCATGGTATAAATAATAGCAGCAGGCTAACGCGAAATACCTTGCGTAAATCTTGTAGCGTTTGCTATGTCATGATAAAACTAAAATTTTCATAAATTAATTTTTTTTAAATAATTTAATTTAAAAAAAGTAAAAGCATAGAATTTGTAGAAAATTAATTGTTTAAATATTTATATAAAATACAAGCACAAAGTAACATCATTTAAAATATTAACTTATTAAAATATTAATTTTAATAAGTCTTAGTTTTAATACTATATAAAATTAGGGTTATATTATTCTGGTGTTTAATAAAAATTATGCTTTTTATGAATTATTACATAAAGAAAAAAAAGTTAATTTTATCACTTTTAATGTTGAATTTTCGATTCCAACAATATATATACGTTAATGTTAAAAATTGTTAAATCACTAAATTTTTACCAAAATTTTTACCAAAAGATAGAACTATATGAGATTAGTTTGTTATTATAAAAAACGACTGGAAATTTATTCGAATGTATTATTTTTGAAATTATAACTACTAAATTACTGGATCTTTGTTACAGATTAAGAATGTTCCTTACTTTGATCTTTATATAAGGTTAGTTTGTTACTACAAAAAGCAATTGAAAATTTATTTATATTCACTTACGATTTCCAATCTATACACAGATGTAGTAGAAAAGATAATTTAAAAGGCCTTTATTACTTGAGAAAAAAGTAAGAGACGTCTAGTTAAAGCACAAACTCATGAAAAAAACTACTTTGCATTCTTACTATGTATACCATTACCAGTGTGAAGTATGGTTCAAAATTATCGATACATCCTCATGATTAAATTTGCATTGCTGACGTTCTTGTATTAATTACTTTTTTAATAAATTAATAAAACATAAATTTTACTTTACTATTAAATTACATTAAATTAATGAAAAATATTATTAAATAAATATGTTTAAACATTGGTTATTATGACATGTTCGTGACGTAGCGATTACGTCATATCGTACGACATGCAATCGTTGCTGCACGTAAAATTTAAATTAGAAACATTAACATCGAATTTTCCAAGTAATTTTAATTATATGAATTTCGAAAATTTTCAAAAGAAAAAAGGGAAAAAAATACAAAGGGAAGAAAAATTACGATACTAACTGCATAGCAATAACTTTTATTTCGATAAAATACCAGAAAATTTTTATTTAATATTCGTAATTAAAACAAAAAATAATGTTTATTGCATTATATATAAAAATATACGGTAATAAACATTTTTACATGATTATCTTATCTAAGAATTTAAAGCATAGCTCCTAATATTTTTGCAAAAATTGCTTGATTCGATAGCAATTGCTTGATTTGATAGCAATTTAATTGTAGTAATAAAATAATATTCATGTCAACTTATGTGAAAAAACTAGTTTAACAATTAACAATGTCTTTTTATATTAATACATATTATCATGTTTGTGTTTTCAATTATACTATATAAATATATTATAAAATTATGATATTTACATATTTAAAATGTATATAAATTGCTTGCTGGAAAAGTCACTTTCTTATGTTATATTTCTCTTGTTTTCCTTTTTTATATAGAAGTAATCTTTGTTTGTTTAAAACAATGCTTTCATTTTACGTCATTGCATTATGATATTGCAATATGTTTTTTTTAGAGAATAATAAACATTAGGTATATATAAAAATTTTTTGTACATAAATGTTTGAGTAAATAGTAAAATTATTGCTTTTTACACATATTATACTTTGTTTTCTAATTTCAAGATATAATCTTGTACATTTTCTATAACGCTATATATATATGGACGTTCCATAGGATTTACCTTTAACATTGTTAAAATCAGATTTTGCATATCCTGTAAAATAAGAAGAATCGGCGGTTAAATCTTCAAAATATTAACAATTGTAATTAAGTATTATTGTACCTCAGTATATGGAGCATCTTCTGGAAATGTAATATTTGCACTCATTACAGCCAAAGCAACACTGTCTCCTCTCTCATATACTGCATCAAATGGTGATTTAAAGTAACATAGTGCATAAAGAATACATCCTAAAGACTAAAAGAATATGTATATATTTTAATACATATTAAAATTGAGAATAAATATTTGGAATTAAAAATCATATTGATTTTACCCAAATATCTGTTCGTTCATCTACCATACAATAACTTTCAACATTGAATAATTCTGGTGCTTTGTATGGCATTGAACATCTTTCTGCTGCTATATCTTGCAAAGTTTGTGCTGCTTGTGAACCACATATTTTAATTCTGGCTGGTGCTACAGAACCTACAAAGTTTATCTCGATTTAATAATTATTATTCTTTATTTTAACATATTATAATAAATTAATATACCTAAATCCATTATGATGGGAGTATTTCCATCGTCAAGTACTATATTCGCAGTCTTTAGATCTCTGTGAGCAAGTGGTTCTGGCTTTGCTTCATGAAATGCTTTTACACCTTCACATATTTGTAAAAATATATTTAAAATATCTGGTGCACTCATATAATCTTTACTTTTAGCACGTCTTTCTAATTCATTTGCAAGAGTTCCTCTCTAACAACATAAACATTTATATTTTCAAAATTTATAAACATATTATTTAAGAAATATAGAAATAACTTACATGATAATATGGTAAAACAATTAATACTTCACTAGTCGCATTAACAATAGAATCTACTGTCTCTTTATAAGTAGAATCGATGCACTCTATAATATTTGGATGTTTTATAAGATTATAGTATTCTATTTCTTTTGCTGCTAATCTTTGGTCTTCCAATCCATGACAAATGATCTTTTTAATGGCATATTTCTTGTGAATTGTTGTATCTTCTACCAATAATACAGTACTAAATCCACTAAAATCGTAATACAATTATATACATTTATACATACATTATACAATACATTTGTATCTTATAATATTCATTATTAAATTAAATACATTTATATACAATTCATTTAACTTACTTTTAAATAAAATTATGTAAACTATATACTTTAAAAGAAAGTAATTATAAATTTTTAAAAATTGTCTTTAATTTTTCTACAAAGCAAATATGACATAAATTAGGTTAAATTTTCTAATATCATAAAATTTAATAAAATTTATCTTAAAGATATGAGAATAATATGCGATAAAAAGATATTTTAGAAAAAAAACACACTTAAATAAAAGTAAACGGATAAGCTTTAGAATTATGTATAAAATTTGATTTCATGATTAAACTTGCCCTTCTCCAAGATGTTCACGAACCGTGTAATTTCTTGAGTTTACAGTTATCGTTTCTTTTGAGCATATACAGCCCATTTTTAAAATTAAGCTTAAACCGAGGCTGTTCATCTTTAATTATTCATAATAAAAGAAAAATTATACCTGGTGTATGATCTTTATTCATATGTAAACATTTTGACACATACGTTACCATTGAGATTGGTGATCAGTTTAAGTTAGATTATTGTACGTCAATTGTTTACAAATAATTTTTGGTAAATACATTCTTTAAAATTGAGTTTTATAGAAAATTTACAAATCTAATATTTAATATAAATTTTATAATCAATATTAAATCTTTTTAAGTTATCTTTTTATAATAGAAAAAAAAATCAAAATTCCATCATCGAAATGAATAAACTTCCGTGATTTCTCAATATGGTTACACAAGAAACAAAAATCGTTTTCAAAGTAATGTTGTCAATTTTGAATAAATTTTATCTATAACATTTTAAAAAATTAAATATTTCATCAAACAAGTCTTTAAAAAAAACAATATACAAATCTTATAAAAAGAAATTTAGCATAAAAATCATTTTTTTTGTTAATTGTTTGTTATCAGGTAGTGTATGCTTTGTTATGGATATTTTTTACAAGTTATTATTTTTGGGGTGTACGAGAAACAACTGTAACATTTCCAATTGATGAATCTGGTTGGGTACCAGATGGGGCGTTCGCAAAAGAAATTATGCAAGCACAGTCTGAGGAACAAAGTGATTAATGTTAAAGAAAATAAACAATGTATAATGAAATTAACTGTTACAAACTTTGATGCAATAAATGATACTACGTAAGTGTAAAAAATTAATTAAAAATATTTATTTAAAACCAAGTATAGTGTTAATGAGAAACTCTAGTTATTATAAATATTAATTTATTCATTTTCTTAAAAAATGAAATTTTAATGACATTTGTAGAAATACTTACATTAGATCATTTTCAATGATAATTCTATATCATGCTTTGAATAAATTACTTAGGGAACTAAAAAGTAGCTATTGCTACTCTATTCTTTATATAAATTTAAAATAGATAATAAACTAATAAATATGTATATTTATTCAAATTTATATTTTTTAATAAATTTAACACAGAAAAATCTCTGTAAATTTTCGCATTTATGTAATTCTTAAATAAATTGTTACATTTAACAAAATCAAATGTAATTAAATTGTTTCACTCTCTGGAGCATCATCATTTGAATCTTTGATAGCCTCTTGATCATTTTGCAATTGTGCCTGCCACATGGAATGATATGTTCCATTGTAAGAAATCAATTCTTCATGTTTGCCCCTCTCTATGATTTCTCCGTCTTTCAAAACAAGAATTTCATCGGCATGTATCACCGTGGATAATCTGTGTGCTATGATAATAGTCGTCCGATTAGCGCAGACTCGATTTAATGCTGCTTGAATATTACGTTCTGTTTGTGTATCGAGTGCACTTGTTGCTTCATCTAAAAGTACGATTGCTGGTTCTTTCAGTATCGTACGCGCGATAGCAACGCGTTGTTTTTCTCCTCCACTTAAACGAAGGCCTCTTTCACCAACCTATGCACAAACCATATAGAATAAATATGATGAAAAATCAATAAAAATTACATCTATACCTGTGTATCATAACCGTTTGGAAATGAAAGAATTCGCTCATGAATATCCGCGTTTCGAGCTGCTGATATTATATCTGCATCTGCAGCTTCAATACGTCCATATTGAATGTTGTATTTTATAGTATTATTAAATAATACTGTATCTTGGGGTACGACACCTATTGCTCGTCTTAAAGAACTTTGAGTGATAGTCTTAATATTTTGACCATCAATCAAAACAGCACCCTGTTCTACATCATAAAATCTGAATAATAATCGTACAATAGTAGATTTGCCTGCTCCAGATGCTCCAACCAATGCAACAGTCTTTCCTGCTGGCACGATAAAACTAATATTTTTTAGTATAACTTTCTCAGGTGTATAGCTAAATGTCACATTTGAAAATTCAACTTGACCACGCTTTACTATCAATGGACCAGCGCCTGGAGCATCGATAATCTCTTGATTTTCTCTCAAAAGATCAAACATATTTTCCATATCAACAAAATTTTTCTGTATCGCTCTGTTAAGATAAAAGAATAATATAATATAAATATTTTAAATTAAATAAAAAAATTAATTAATTAAATTTTAAATATAGTAAATGTAGTAATGTAGTAATATTCACCGGTAATATGTTCCGAACCAATTTAATGGGACATAAAGCTGTATAATGTAACTTGCGAATAATACATAATCACCAATGGTCAAACCTTGTTTGGCTACAACCTACAATTAATTAATTAGATATTAAAAGTTTTAACAATTAAAAGAATTTCTGGTACCAACCATATGTAAACAAAGTAAAGAACCAGCAAGTAAACCACTGCAAACAATTATATTTTGTAAAGTATTTAAAATATTTAATGTTATCATTGATTTCCATTCTGCAACTTGGAATTCCAATATTGCTTTTCTATAATTGTCAACTTCGTATGATTCTGCTCCATAATATTTAACAGTTTCAAAATTAAGTAAACTGTCTACACTTCGTGCTTTTTGGGCATTATCTGCTAAGTTCATGTGTCTCTGGTATTTAGTACGCCATTCAGTAACAAAGATTGTAGCAGCTGATGCATAAATATTGAAATTCAATAAAAATTCTATAATTTTAGTAATGGCTACAGAGAAATTGAAAATTAATGTTTACCTATATAAAGGCTCATAGTTAAAAATACAATTAAGCCAAACCACTTGTTGAAAGCAACAACAAAGAATGAAACAGCTACAATGATATCAACAATTGTTGGAACAATTGAGAATAAAATGTAATTGAGAAGATTGTTTACAGAATCTGTTCCGCGATCCATAACTCTCAAGACCTCTCCAGTTTTTCTTCCTAGATGCCAACGTAAACTTAATCCATGTAAGTGTCTAAAACATGTTTGTACAAATAAAATTTAAAACTGAAATGGAAATATAAAAATTTGTATGAAACACTAAGATTCTTTACCTAAATAATTCTACTTCTATTTCTCGGGTTGTATATTGTTGTATACGAATCCATAGAAATGATCTAAGATTATTCAATAATCCCATACCACCTGTACCACCGCCTTGTAAGAATTTGAATGCTACATATATTATTATGAGATCCCATCTGTTACGAAAATTAGTTAGAAAATAGTTCATGAAGCACAATATCTATTTACTTATTTCAAAGTTTTTGATCATAGAAACTTTGCATACCTGAATAAGTCAGGAGTATCAGTGACACTGTTTACAATTTTTTTATTATAAATTGGTACATATAAATTAATTAAACGTCCTAATATAAGTAATCCAAAGCAAAAAATAACACGAAGTTGAAGCACAAAAGTCTTTGGCCACAAGAATGGTATTAAAGTTTTTATTTTATACCATGCATTTTTCCATGTAGAACTAGTATCCTCAGGTCTCTAAAAATATTATCAAAGCTATAGTATGTGTAGCAAATTTATCAAAAATTTAATCTATAATAAATATTTAATAGATGTTATGATATACATATATTAATGTAAAAAATTTTATTTTATTTCAATCTATCAGTGATTATAAAATCTTTTTTTGATTAAAAGACATTGAATTTATACACTAAAGTTATATTTTAATGACTTACACCTTGATAATATCTTGACCGTAAAGCTGGGCCATTATTCAAAGTATGATATTCAGAATCTGTATTGCCAGTAATACCTGGCGCTTTGAGTCCTAAAGCAAAGATACTAAGATTGCTGACATAACGTAGAATGAATAGTGCCATCTCAATCTGATCTGTTAATCTGTAAATAGCACACACATACATAAAAACTACCCCATCAGATGTAGTGAACAAATATAGGTAGTTCATTAACCCTCCAAATACTGAACTCATGTAGACTCAATTTTGATTGCTCTGTTAATCTTTTGTAACTGTCATCTTAAATTACAATCTATACTTTTATATTGTGTTAGTTTTAGTTATTTCTATTTTGTACTTTTTTATTTTTTATATTATATAATATAACATACAAAGTAATCGATATCTATGAATACAAATTAACAATAAACTACTAGTTACATATATAAAAAATAAAAAGTACAATTTCGAGAGAATTATATTCTGATATATTTCTTTTTTTGTAGATTAGATAGATGAACACGTAGAAGTCATATGAAGGTAATATACATTTTCTCAAATGAAATTAATACGTTTAATACAATCCGTAATATACTGGTCGATGAGAATTAAAATTATCGTTGTAAAATTATATTAAGCTATTTATGTCAAAAAATTTTATTAGTTTAAAAAATATTTTAACTTTAATTTTATAACACTTATTATATAAAATTCAGGCACAATATTGCTTGTATCTTTTCTTATTCTATAATAATTTAACATATTATTAATAAATACAATGAATTTTTGTCATATTACAATTTTCTGATAACTGAAAGAAATTAGATCTCTATTTTATCTCTATTAAATCTTTCTACATTTGCTAGCTATGTTAAAGTATTGTTTGAAGATTAATCATGTAAATATTTAGGTATATTGCTCATTAACTTACGTGTTTAAATGAAACCACCATTCAAGTTTTCCAATATTAACAAACACAAGATTTTCTGCAACAAATGCTAATGTCCAGAAACCCAATAATACAAGTCCGTGTCCTTGTGGTGGCACACTTGGTAACAATTTGTGCCTCTCTACTTTTAGTATGTATATTGAATATGGATATACAATTATTGTTAATACTGTTGTAAGAATCTAAAAATGAAATTCTTTTATATTTTAAAATTAAACAATATTATAATAAATAAATACTAAATACAATCTCTTACCATATATCCATATATCTTATTATCATCCAAGATTGTTCCTTGTAGAATTATTCTCACTATACTAAGTATCGGAACAAAGTAAAGAAAAAATTTTTGTACATTGTATAATTTATTTCTGGACAATAAAGTCACAGTAGTTTCTGTTCCATACTTTTGATACATCCAAAGTTGAATTGTACCAAAAATTAATAAATATGAGGAAATAATAGCAATACTGATAGTGTCCATAAAGCATTTGGACATTCCATGGTTTACCCAAATATCAGTAAAGGTAATATTTGGAGGACAAAAAGTCATTGTTGCGTTCATCTTTGATTTTTTATTTAAATTTTCCACAGCTTTAAAAAGTAATTGCTTAATGACAATGCTTTTTGTCTATTACTTTATTACAAGTTTACACAATTAGTCTTACACTATAGTATATTATTTGATTCATTCACAATATTTTAATTGATTGTAACTTTCAGTTCATTGATAATATCTGAAAAACTATACAAGAAAACATATGTACATATATTATTTTCTTTATGTATAACTTATATTTTGAATAATATATTATCTATATAATATAATAATAATATACAAAAATATTTAACACACAAAAGTTCATTTTCAGATAAAAGTTATTATCATTTTCAGATAAAGTCACATGTAATTATATAAGTTTTATTACATTTTCAAAAATTTTTATATTTAAATTAATATATTCTTTAGAAATTAACATTGATAATTAAAATATATCGTAACTAAAAATAACATATTTGTAAGATAAATACACTAGATATTTTTAATGTAAATTAATTTTGAAATATAAAATATTAAAGAAAAATTATAAAAAAAGGTGCTACACTTACATTAAACAATATTTTACAGAATGTTATTTTATTTTAATGGAAAGATTAAACATAGAAGGAGTAAAACCCTTACCTTTCTAAAACAAACATCTGCTTTGTCATGATAAATGTATAATTGAATTAATGTTTTGTGAAACTGAATATACGACTATTTTTTAAAAATAATTTAACCTAATATAGCTGTGAAGTTTTATGGCATTTGCAATAATATTGTCATATTATAATAATATAATATTAAGAATAAAACATTGATTTTGCGCAGCAAGAAATGTTTTTATAGACATTCACAAGTTATTTTCCCCAAATTAAAGAAATTTATATTACATCCGACGTCAGAGTAAAGAAATACACATTTATACATCACTTCAGCTTATTATACTTGAAAGTATATGATTGTTTCTATGTATTGTGGATATAAGATATAAAACTAGATTTTGGAGATAATTTTGAAAACATTTTTTGTCATAGTATATATACATTTTTTAATCAAGCATATATATGCTAAAAAATAATTTACTGTTGTATATTAACCTAAAAGTTATATTAACTTAACCTAACACAAATATACATATAGTAATTTTTATGAATTAAAATTTGACAGAAATTTATTTCATTTATATAAATTAACCATGGCCAAGGGTCATAAATATTTGAAACGTTTAAAATCTGAGAAAATGAAAACAAAATTAAAAGCAAAAAAAACAAAACATTTACCAAAAGATTTAAATATTACGGATCCTTCGTTTAAGGTTAGAACGATTGTTATACGAGAACAATTAAAACAGCATGACAAGGTGGAAATACTTAGCAAGAGAAAACTTAATATTAAGGTATTTATATTATATAGTAAGAATTATATTTATAATTCTATGGTAAGGTTTTAAATAAAAATTTAATTTCTAGGATTTATTGTCACGTTTACAACATTATAATTCAACAGTTCGACAAGATGCTGTAAAAGAATTGAAAGAAATTTTGTCAGAACATTCTTTTAAATTATTAAGTTCTCAATTTGGACCTCTTTTACAAGGTGTTTGTGCATTATCTCTCGATAAGGAAAAAGATATTAGACGTAACTCTTTGAAAGTTTTAAGTCTAATCCTTGGTCCAATTTCTAATGATCAACTTAATCCATATTCTGATGTATTAATTTCTTATTTGAGATGTTCTATGACACATATTGATCCTTACATTAAAGAAGATTCTTTACTCTTCTTGGATGTACTTGTACAAAACTGTAGCAATATTCTGGCCAAAAACAGTTATAAAGTGCTGCCAAATTTTTTAGATATGATTTCCAAATTACATACAGAAATAAAGCCTGGAAGACTATTAGTAACAACTTTAAACTCCAAGAATACTAATATTAAATGGAGGATACAAGTATTAGAAAGACTTGCTACTATGTTTAGTTCTATGGTTACTTATTTTAAATCTCAAGAAAGTATCTCTTATTCAGATGAAAGTGCAAAATTTATAACTGTGAATAAAAATATTAGATATATTCCTACTTATACCAATATAAATTTTCAAAATTGTGAAATTGATTTTGAAAAAATTAATGATGTGGAAAAAAATAATATTGATAACACTTCAGATGCAGATGAATTTGTAAAATATATAGAATTATTAATGCCACTTATATTTGACAGCTGGGTTGAAGTATGTCCTGATAAAAAAAATGCTGACAATTTTGTAGTTTTCATTTCTACAGAAACATTGGAATTATTAAAAAGTATCATAACAATAATACAATTAATAATTGAATGTATTGATATATTACACACAAAAAGTGATGTAAATATCAAATTTTGGTTTAAAAGTAATTTCCAGAGCTCTTACATAAAAAAATTGCTTTCAAGATTTCCATACTATAAATTGGGAAAACTTGGAAGTTTTCTTTGTTTGACAAGAGAACGTCAACAAAATTTTACTGTGGAGAATTCATGTGATTATTGTTTAGAGTGTAATTTAGGCATTTGTCAAATTTATGTATGGTTTACATCACTAGAGAACGATGATAAAATGATGTCTAAATTAAATAAAAATTATTGCACATCTATAATTAAATATTTAAATGGTAATAAAATTTGCTTTTAGAATTTTTAATTAAATTGACAATATAATTAAAGATATTTTTCCTAACAGAAAAACTGAAAAACTGGTCTAACATAGATAATATTATGCTATCACAACTGACTAAGCTTCTGAGAACATTATTTTTAAAAGCAAGTAAAATTTGGTACAAAAATCATCTTGATTTAAGTGAAACTTTACAATTAGTTATAAACGCATGTTGTAATCAGTCAAAAAGAGAAATACAGTTAGAATTATTTTCTGTAATTAGCGAAATAATGTTGGATCATACTTTGCAAGAATTGCATAGGTAATTTATAATCTCTTTTAAACCTTTTCTTGATTTTCTTTGAATAATGTCTATAAATTACAGGGAAAATGTATTTAAAAAATTCATCTCAACTTTGCCAAGTCTCTTGTTAAAATCAAAAATACATGAAAATACAATACAGATAATAAATAAGATTGTACTCCGTTATAGAAATTGGATTCAAAAAGAGCTTCTGATAAATTACAAAAACATTATAGGTAATTGTACTTAAAAATATTATATTTATAATTGCATGTATGTTATAAACAATGCTATTATTATTTATATTACAGAAAACGCCAAGAAGATTGAAATTATCGGATCTGAAGACCATAAACAATCTCGTCTTATGATATGTAATTTGTTTTACTTTTTAGATACCGAAATTTTCTATTAAGTAAAATAAGTATTTCTCTAATAATTTTACATACACTTTATTGTAAATTTCTACGAAAATGATATTTTTTGTGTTTTTAATAAATCATTGATTTATTATTCAAATATTCAAATATTATTATTAGAGCATTGCTGATAATATGCAATCATTAATAATATTAAATTATATAACTTAATAATTATTATAAATACATACATTACAAATATATATAACAATTATAAACATCTTGTATATGTTTGTATCATTTTGCAGCACTATTTTTAAAGTTTCGAAAATACTTTGTAATACTTATGTACATATTACAATGAAATCTCATTTATCCAAATATGTAACAGGACAGAACAGACAAACAATTCGGATAATACAGGTTCACTAGCTTTTTTCATATCCTACTCTTATTTGTTTTGACAATAAAATATAGTAGATAAGGATAACAGAATAAATAAGATTACATTGTATATTCATTTTGAAGATTCTAAACCAAGATGAAGTATTTTCAGGACATAATTTAAACTTTAGTTACCATATTCATGTTTCGCGGAGACTCGTCATCAACGAATGAATAGTTATCAAATACGAACAATCCATTATTGCTTTTAATTAATTCTACTGTTTTATTGCTTTCCAAATTATTTTTGGTCTTATTGTTATAAGATCTCTCCTTTGAATTTGTTACGTTAATAATATTTTCTACGCTTGGTGACAATGGTAACGTTGGTAATTCTTTACTAAGCGTTGGCCAACTTAAGTTGTTCTTCAATTCATGTTCTATTCTCAAATATTTCTTCTTAGACTTTTCAAGTTTATAAAATTTCAATTTGAACTTTTTCTCAATTAAATATTCTATCACAAACATTTCAACGAAGAAACAAAGTACGAAGTTCGCAAACGCGAGTATCAAAATAATAATTCTCCAATCGTACACTGGAGGCACAAGTAATTGAAGCATATTTATTATCCAATTCGCAGGATAAATTGTAATGTAAGTGCAAACAATGATTAATAATATTATGGAAAATATAAATGAAATATTTGTGTAAATAGCTTTTCGATATGGCTTTCCACGTGAAAATATGATAGCCATCGTTATGTATTGGAACATAGAAACACAGTAAACAGAATAATTTTCATAACACATGTATGAATTTTCATCATTATATACGAATGGTGTAAACCAAGGAAAAGTGCGAACCGCATGATAAGCAACAGTTTGAAAAATTGTCATTATTAACATATGTACAGATAAAGAGAAGATCGAAGTAAAACTTAGCAAACTAGTCATAGGAGGTTTTTTTACTAACTGCTTTTCATATGCTTGAGTTTTTCCAAAAAACGAAGCGAAATTAACAATAAGACAGATATCAATAAACAGAAATTCTAGATCTGTCAAGTTTGAATCGATTGAATAGAGAATAATAACAGACAAAAATTCTGTCAAAGAATAGGTAACCATAAATTTAAAAATTCCAAATGATGTAACTAAGGCAGCACGACCTTCCCTTATCACCTTCGGTACGCATGTTATATCCGGTACTTTGGACGTGAAAGGACTCGCAACACTAAAAATGATATTTTATTGGGTATTATTATGCAAACATTCAAAAATATCCTAGAAATTTAGGTCAACTCTTCTTATATATAGAAAGATATTTCTTTTCTACAAGCATATAATTAAAAAATAAATTAAGGACAAGTGACAGTTAAATTTCCAAAAACATTATATAACAAAAAAAAAAAAAAAAAAAAAAAAAAGGACAAATACACCAAATCATGTCTGGTAAACTTGTCCTATATGAAAGTTAAATTGCCTGAGGTTATTATGTAAAAAAGTGATGTAATCCCTTAACGTTGAAATATTACCTAGATTCTGCTTCGGATAAGGATATACCCGCATGTGCAGCTCTCAGAGCACCGCAATCATTAGCACCATCTCCACACATCGCTAGAATGTTTGCGAAATATTTTGAAATGACTATTCTATAAGGTAATGACATTAATGTACAGTAAATAACAGTGCATACCGACATAATAACCAAGTTGCATTAACTCTAACACTAATTGTTGCTTCTGATCGCTACTCATCCTGGCAAATATTGCGCCACGGACGCAAATTTTTGCTACAATATCAGGATAGTACTCACGCAATAATTGCCATGATTGACCTGTTAACGCAAACCGATAATTGGTATTGTCTATATTTCGTTCTATATCTTTCAGATTTGGTATGTTAAGTTTTCTAGTAAGGCTCTGAAAAGAATGAAATAGTCAGTTCTGTTTTAATTTTTCCGCAAATCAATTTAAAACTTTCTGATAGAATTAAAGAAATTTACTAATTTCGGAGACATTTCTTGAGCATTGAAATAAATGTCAGGTTGTAATTTATTTTCCTCCATAACTACTGTCACGTCTATCACATATTCTTGCGGCGACAAAATGCCACATTCTTTTGCAACGCTTACTGCAGTCTGAATGTTATCCCCTGTAAATGTAAAAAGCAAATAAATCATTTCGCTACAACTGGTAATTCATTCTATGTTGAAATATCAATGTACGGAAATTGCTAAACTCTAATTACCTGTAATCATCAGAACATGTATGTTAGCGGTTCTCAACTCTTTGATAACCGGTATAGTTGGTGATTTCAACCTATTTTCCATAATAATTAAACCTAGAAATTCAAGATTTTGTTCAACTGCATCTCGAGGCAATTTTGTTATCTGTGCAGAATATAAAAAATTTAATTGAATATATAAAATTGAAAGTTTATAGAAAGAAATATCAAAATGATTATTCTTACCTTTTTAGTGTTTTCGCGTAATTTTGTTCGTCCCATAGCTATCACTCGATAACCCTGTTCCGTGTAATGTTTTAAACAGATCATTATATCTTTCGGTATAGTTTCAGGTTTGCTTAAACTAAATATCATTTCAGGTGATCCTTTTGTGTAGGCTTTGAACGTATCCGAACCCAATACGCGTATTATTACAGACATTCGTTGGAGAGAGCTTGAGAACTGATATTGTTGCACTATTCCAATTTCCGATATTTTATTCATATTTTGTGTGAAATTATTGTTTTTCGGTGGTTTCATGATTGTCGATGCTATGAGATCATATTTATCTGAATGTTTGTTATTGAACTCTTCTAATCTCCATCCGGTACTTTCAAACATCTAAACCAATTAGTAACAGCTCATTTCGTTTTTCAATGATCTTTTGATCCAAAGATTTCTTTAACATAATTACAATTATTATAAATGGTAATAGTAGTTACCTTAACGTCTAAAGGATCGCCACAGAGTGCACTATCTATTAGTGTTAAACTATGACAAACTAACATTCCCTCAAAAAGAGGATGATCATTTAATTTGGAAACAGTTCTTTCGGCTTCACCTAGGATACCATTTGTGCAGGGTACAATACCCCACATATCCAAACCATCTTCTGTTAAAGTACCAGTCTGCAGGAACAAGCAAAAAATAATTAATTAATATTATATAACTATTAATATTATATTCTCAGATTTAAATTACATAAGTCATATAAACTACATTTTTTTTTTTTACCTTATCGAAACACACGCAATTTATACTACCAGATACGTTAATAACTCTATTGTTAATGCAATATATTTGTGCCCGTTTCAATCGTACTTGAGCGTATAACTTTCCCACCGTCATTGCTGCTGGTAATGCCGGTGGAATTACTATTGTTATTATATCCAAGGCTTTTATCGCTATATCTCCGGCTGTAATTCCCCTGGAGACCTAGAAAAAAATGAACATTATTCTCCTAACATTTTATTCAAAAAATATATTGAATAGTGATTAGTGGAAAATTAAAATATAAAATATAAAAGCACCTTAGTCACAATAGTGTAAATGAAACCGCATGTCGCGATAACAGCTAATATCCCAATAAATTTATAAGAATCTTGATCGAATTTAAAATCTGCAGGAGGTGGATATAAAATGGCCGCGACTAAAGATCCTTTACTCGTACGAAATCCTGTTCGAATAACTCGAGCTAGAACTGGCCGGTCGTTGTAACTTCTAATAACAAATTCACATTGGTAGCAATAGTTTACAATTTATAGCAGCAATTACGCAAAGTTCGAATATAATACCTTGTTTGAATAATAGTAGTGCCGCTATACATCGTATGATGAGAGCATTCTTTAGAGTCGTATAAAACGTGATGCGATGGCAGTGGAGTTTTCGTTACTGGTACAGATTCCCCTAAAATTTTATTCAATAAAGAGAAACTAGAGTAAATGTATGAAGTTATAATTTCAAACACGAAAATATTTGAACACTTGTAGAGATATCTTTTATGAGTATATAATACAATATCTGTTTTATTATATATAAAATATTTTAAAATTTCAGTGTATGCTCATACATAATAATATAATATAAAATATTAATGCTATAATGAGATCCGACAATTATGATTACATTGGTAAAATCTGCCAGCAACAAACAAATCTGAGAACATACATGGAAGCAAATATACATATGTACTTTCATAGAAATCATAAAAATACATATTTAAATAGTCAATTATATGTATGTTAATGAATGTCAATTTCTTCAAACGGAGCTGTCTTTAATGTTTATTAAATACTATGTAATTCCAACTTTTATTATGATTTTATCATGTCATGTAATTCTACTAATATAATCTTGATATAATAATAATAATAATAATAATAATAATAATAATAATAATAATAATAATAATAATAATAATAATAATAATAATAATAATANGTAAAGCGTCTCATAATAATAATAATAGTAAAACTTCAAAACTTTTATACAATATGCATAATTTATATATTAAAATTCTTTGCAATAAATATCCAAATACTTTCGTGAACTATTATAGTATGTTGCAAAATATGTAATTTCTAATTAATCATACCAGTTAACATCGATTCGTTTAAAATACATTGTCCTGTTAAAAGTACCGCATCACAAACAATAGTAGCCTGATGCTTGGGTAATTCTATGACATCACCTGGCACTAAATCATTGCTCGGTATATTCTCTGCTACTTTAGAGTTTCTGTACACGCGAACTGTTTCCGTGGATGCAACTGTACCGCGTAGATTAATTTGATTCTGCAAAATATTTATTGTAATTGCATTTTAACATAAATACAGGTTTCAAAGAAATTTTTTGAAAAATTTACATTTTGAGCCTTAGGTATTTATAAATGAACTCTGGAGTATATTAAATATATTAAAATTGCTAAGGAAAAATTATCTTACATATAGTGTATGTTCCGATATTATGCAATATACATTATAGAACAATTGTACGAGGTTAATAATAGAAACAAATAATGGATCTTTAGTTTTCTTTAATTATTCAGAAACAAATTTGACTATTTTTAAATTTGAATTCTTTTCAAATAGTAATTGATTTAGATTACTAAATATGAATCTGTAAAATTCTACTTCATAGGTCCTCTATAAGCTAATGTATTTTTTGATTAATTTTATTCCAAAATAAAATTTTTTTATATCATTTCACCTAATAAAAAATAAAGTTTGGCTCAAAACGCAGAAGAATTATACAATAATGTTTTTACCTTACGAGTTTGTATTATAGAACTGATAATTCCAAACAATGACATACATACGATTGCTACGGTATAATATAAGTAGCCTTCTGCGAACCATACACACAAAGTGAAAACTTGAAAAATGTAAAATGGATTTAAAACTTCTAACAATAGCAGTACGCCTATGCTTTGTACAGGTACAATTATTTCATTGCTACCGTATACAATCCGTCTATAAAATGGAAAAACATATTTAAATCAAAATAAAATAATCCTTAATTTCGAATAACGCTTCGAAATGTTAGAGAAAAATAAAAGATAATATATAATAATATGTTGTAATAATAATATACTGTTTTTGTTAGATTAATTAATTAATCAGTATAAATCTTTTGAAATTATAAAATAATGTGAATGCATAAATTATTAAATTATTACATATTATTTATCTTGTCATTACCTAAGACATTGTTCTTCTTTAGAGAGTCCATGATTCTTATTAAGATTAAGATCCGAGCATAGCGTGTACTTGTCTAAACCTACCAATCTCGAGAACGTATTTTGCGTAACGTCCCAGATATAACATTGTTTTTTGCACCAAAAAGCTTTATACTCATAAATTTGACACTGTGTACCATTTTCTAAATTAATCATCAATTTTTTATGTCTGATTTTCTCGACGAGCTGTTTATCATTGCTACCTAAATCTTTCAATAAATTCTGTATACTGATAAAAAAGAAAATTCGTTTGAATTTATAAAAATTATATCGATAAGAAATTCAAACTTAAACTAACCTGATATTCTTTGCTGAAATAGTCTTCACATCTTCCACAAAGTATGATTTATATTTTCCTTGATAGTTATCCTAAATATAAAATTGTGTTCATGATTATTCATCAAATAATTTACTTTAATTATTGAAATAAAATAAAACTTTAAATAAATCACGTTAGTTGCAAAAATTTATTTCTTTACGAATGCTTTTGAATGGACGAATTTTAAAGAAGAAACTGGTCAAAGGTCAAATTCTGAATATTTGATACGATTGATTTTTACATTTAACAAAATTGATAAGAAATTTCTAAGTGAGAAAACAGTTTAGAATTCTTACAGTTATAAGCAATTTTGTGGCACAACTCAAAGAACATTTGTTGTGAGTAGCATAGAGGTGTAATTGAGGATACCAATGGAAGAAAAGTCTGACCCATCCGATGGTTAATATGTAAAAAACATAAGTCAGGATACTTTTCAATCTGCTCTTCTCGAATCCATAAACACACTAAAAACAACATATTAAGTTTAATGAAAATATTGATGAAACTATATTATAGAATAAATCATTGTGCATATGTAGGTATTCACCATATCTTCATCTTGACCAGTATGTATTTTTTGCCACTGCACTGCCGATGTTTGAGCATTCTTTATTCCTAAATAGAGAAAATCATAAAAATCATAATCAATACGTTTAAAATAAAAGTGCAACATTTATTTTATAAAATAGTTGTTAATATTCGATACATAGAATAGTATAGTTAGTATAGTTATATAGATAGTAAGAGAAATTTTTCGAATATACATATATAAAATTTTGCTATTACATCGGCAAAAGATTATGTAATAAATAACTTTCATTTGAGACATTCTTTTATATTCTTACTTCCGGAAATATCCAAAGTGGTAATTTTTATTGAACCACTTTATAGTTTGATGAAAGTTTTTGTTCTTGATAATTACACGCTATAGATCATTAATGACCCACATATTATAGAACGCGTTAAGCAAGGACTTTAACAAGAATTTATCGTACAGTTTATCGATATGAATCATTTGTGATGTGATTTCTTCCATTCAAAGAATAATAATCAAATCAATGTCAATTAAAAACAAGCACTTCTCAATTCAGTGATAGAACTCGAGTGCAGATTTCTTACGTTATCGTTGCGATGAATCAAAGTTGTTCGCAAATCACTCGAAGCAGATAATTTCCCGTTAGAAATGATAATTCCTTGGCAAACAATATCCGGTTAAGTCGTGATAGTGCTCGTTATCAGGTCATCAGACGCTATTGCATCTTAAATGAAAACAATATATATTTATACGGTTTTAAAAAAAAATTATCATTAGCAATAACTGACAATGAGACAATAACGATTCATTTTATCATTTACAAATAAAAATTTTTTATATACATTTTAAAATCGATTCAAAAAAGAACCAGCAAACACGTGGATCGATAAACTGTCGTTTACAAACAGTTGTTTATTTTATCATTGAAACTTTGTTTTATTTACTTCATTATTTAATATTCATCAATATTATATTTTATTTGCTTCAGTATTTCCTTCCGTTTTAAGAAGTCTCTATAGTAAGAAAGGTAACATAATGATAGTGGATATTTACATAAACCTATATTTTTATAAACGCAATTACAAAAATCAAATCTGCGTAGAGATTTGTCCCATCAGTTAAGGATATCACAATAAGTAATATTTCAGTAGTAAGTAATATTTTGATTGTTTTACATACTTTTATATAATAAACTTTTAAATTTCGTAGACAGCTCACACTCGCAATCTATAAGTTACTTGATATATTTTCTATTTAATAAAAAATTTTATCAAACAGAAAATTAGAAATCATATTCATGATAAAGTTTCATGTCATTACAACTATTTTACAACTGTACTATTACAATTATTCAACAACTAATACAACTGTAAAGCAATAACATTTCCATCAAGGACTTGTACCAGTAAGATTAAAAAAAATCACAGAATATTTTCGAATATTTTATCACTCATAACTCACCATTGAATGTTGTCATAACTTTAAACTTTTGTTGTAGATGAGTCCTCAAGTTCTTTCCTTGAACTTGAGACCGTCAAATACGGATTTCCGCTTGTAGCTAACATAAAATATAAAATTTTCATATAAATTAAGAAAAATCTGTATTAATGTATATACATCAATAGAAAGAAATTAATACATCGATGAAATAAGATCGTATTTAAATACATTGCAAATGAAAAACAGATATGTTTTTACGTGTAGAATTGAATAGCGTATGAAAATACTAATAGGACTGTCTTGTGAAAGAAGATAAGACCAGGACACAGACGTCAAATAGATAGTTCGACACTGAACATGATTACGGTGACCGTGCACTTGAATTACAACACAATAAGTTGTTGGCGAGTCAAGTGGCAAAATTACGGTCAGCCACGTGTACCGACTAATCTATGCCATCTTATTTAAGTTTTCGATCAAGTATAATCAAATGCAAACCAAACAATAAGAAAATTAATAAACTTTTATAGGATTCATGTCCTGACACATAAACGAGAAATATAAACGATTCATCATTTATAAAATTACTATCTCCTGTAATTAAAAAGAAAAAAAATGGAGTTGAAAAGTTCGTTCGGAGAAATAATTGATAAATTATGAATAAATAATAATAGAGAAATTGTCGACTTAAAGCGACTTTCATTTAAAGATTTATTCCTGTTTTGATTAGCAAATTTTATCAAAAATTCATCAAGTTACCTAATCTGATTTTTACTACATAAATTGTAGTTGTTAGTATATTGAATCTCCTTCATTTTCTTATTTCTAATTTTTAATATTTTTTTTTTATCCAAATTATTCAATTAACAACTTTTTTGTCCAGATCGTTCAATCTTCTTTCACAACTGATATCAAAACTTCATATTAATGATTAATAACATCATGATTAATAACATCGAATAGAGTTGTGAACATTTTTTTAATGATTGCTCAAGGTTTAACTATATCAGAAATCAAATTGTGATACAGTGGAAAGCTATATTATGGATATGTATTTTTAATGTCGTTCTAGCGTGAACCGGTTAAAGTATAAGATAAACAGAATTGGAAGTACGCGTCACAGTTATTTACTGCACGGTAATACCTGAGTATGTATTACTTCACAATAATCGTATCGTAATTCCTTCATAATTGGTCCATTCATTTATCACTTGCTACATATACATGTTAACAATGTGGTATTCATTTATAGAAGAAAAAATTGTAAGATACATGCTGGCGCAATATTTTCCACTTAAATGAGATCGTTAGCGATAAAAGAATCGGATCAGTTTTACGTTTTCCCGACATGATTCAGATCTTGATATAATTGACAAATTATGATCCTAACTTACAAATGCGTATATTTTCATGGAAATTTTAGAAATTAATAGCCGTAATTAACTAAATAAATAAATGTCATGGAATTCTGTAGTAAAAATTGCATGTGTGATGAGCATTACTTGTAGATTACAATTTATGTTATGTATATATCTTCATCAGAGATGTTTGAGTTTCCAGTTTGAAATTAAATAAAAGAATAGCAGAAAATATTTGCAACATTTTTATGTGCAGTTAATCTATGCATTTTTGATGATAATTTCGGAGTAACTACATACTTGCTTTAGCTTTAAATATTCTATCAGATTAAAAAAGAAGAAATGTTATCAATGCCTCTCTTCAAAAAAATGAAAAAGAAGACGTAAAATTATATGTTATATAATAGCACATTTGACTTTGAAAAAGAAGACAATTATATAAATTTAAATACAGCAGTCTATCATTTCAATATGTCGTTTTGATATTCAATCGCAAAAAGTTTAATAATTTGTAGAGTTTATTTTTTCATTTAAAAAAGAAAATCATAAAAAATAAATAATTAATTTAGTTATTACATTGAGTACGATTATTAAGGCATAATATGTAGACACTAGTCATAAAAATAATAATTTTTATGTTGAAATATATTTAGACGATAACAAAAATAATACGGTCCGAGCTATTTTATCAATACATGTATAAATTTCAAAAGAAAAAGATCTAGAAATTTTCGCGTATTTGTTTTCATTCTAATATATTCTATATGTAAACATTATTGGTCCCGTGTAATGCCCACTTTTTTGCGAAATGTATATTACAAAAGATTGTGGATTGCGTTATTTATAATGTCGTTAGAAATGCAACTCGCGTTTTTATACTTTTAAGTAACAAGTCATTGCATAACGCAACACCTGCAACTTTAGACTACTGCTAACTCGTTCTTTCGCAAAAATCAGTGATCTGTGAAGGAAAAAGGAAAAGGAATAAAAATTGCACTAAGGATCAATTTTGCGTCATAGTGTAATGCATATTGTCAATATTATTCATCATATTTATCGTTATATTCATCAAAAATACTTCTCCTTTCCCTTTATGCTTATTTGATTAAATTATACCGATAGATGGTTAAATCACTTTCACTATAAGTGTCTCTGATTCACTTCTATTGATAATTAAAATAAGTTGGTAAAATTATAACATTATTTTGTAATTGTACCACTACATTTGGAACAATTGAAATTCTGTTTCAAGGATAAAATTTAAAATTCTAAAAATAAAAATTTATGAAATGCGATAAAAATGTTTTTCTTGAAATATTGCATATATTTAAGCATTTTGTTAATGTGTCGTAATATTATGTACAATACATTGTTCAATTGAATGCTTATTGATAAACAGATGGAAACTAAAAAAAGCTCTTCATTTATCATCGTGGAAATAATTATTATGTTATAAGCTGATTAATATATCGGAAATTATATATTATTTATACTATAAAATGCTGTAATGCATTGCCTAGAATGAGTGGTGAAAATGTGTGAAATGTTTGTAATAGAGGAAATATGACTTACTCGAATTTTTAGTAATCCTTCCTTTGGTTTAATCCTTTTATTTTTACGGGGACGTAGTCCAAAGTACGTACACGGATGCGTGCATTCCCAGTAAACTTTTAATCGAGCAATTTTCTCCGCTATTATATTTTCATAAGAAACGCAAATAAATTCACAAATAAAATCTTTGACTTATCATGCTATGAATTATCGATATTAAATCGTAAATTTCCTGATTAAAAATTATTACACGCGATAAAGAGCGACGGAAGTTTTATTTCTTTACTCCAAGGATTAAAAAAAAAAATCGAAATAAAAATTAAAAATGATTGATATCAAGTTGTGTGCAGTATCGGAATACTGAATTGTTTTTTTATAGCAAATATCACAAGACCGACACTTCAATCGTGATCAGATGGAAAACTGATTGAAAATATTAATTGTTTCGTTAAATACGATTTTGCGGTCGTATTTGATAAATTCTAGATAAAACTGGTCAATTAAAATGATCTCTTATTTCAACAAAATACACCACTACCTGTTTCGCGCCACGCACCCGGTTATACTGTGCCATTCTGTATCTCGTGTACTCTGGTGTACGAATTTATCCCCTCTCTGTTTGCCTATCGGCGATCGCTCACTTTTCCCGCAGCACAACTTACCGATAGATCGCATGCCGATATTTAACTTCTTTTCCTGTGGCGACACGTGATTTACGTCAAATCGATGAACTAATTCCACGAATGGGAGCAGGTGAAAACATGATTACTTGAACAAATCAAGAATACATACATATAGTGACTCATAAAAGTATTCGTATACTTATAAAAACTTTTTACAAGTATATTGTTTGTATAAAATGTTATACGAAATATTTTGAAATTTGATTAGCACCACAGTAATGAGAATCTATCGCGATTATTTAAGTAAAGCTTAAAACAAATTTAAAAATGTACAAACACAAAATAACAACATATTTTATATAAGTTTTGTAAAGATCACAAAAATATTTAAACGGTCAATTATCGGTTATGCAGCGATCTTTAATATTTATTATTAGTATGTGACTAATCACGTTTTACATTACTTTCCTGCCATTTTTAGTAAATATTCTGCAACTACATTTTCAGATTGATTTCAAATTTTTACTAATATAATAGTAGTTGTGTTTCATTAAAATGTTACCGAAATTTCACATAATATATACATATATAACTTATAAAAGTACTCAAATACTTTAGTAAGCTATTGTAATTTTGTTTAATTTTTGGCGATATACTTCACTGACGTCAATTGCTTTGTGCAAATTCACTCGATTGTTTCATGCATAATATAGCATACATGATAAAAAAAAATACTTTCTATTTGTGTGCATTAAAAAATACAGGAGGTTAGGTATTGAAATATATATAAAATATAAATAAAGATATTTTATTATATTATATACTTTATATATATAAATAAAGGTATTTTATTATATTATATACTTTATTAAAATATTTTGTTACTCTGTAGCAGATAGAAAGCAAACGATGAATGAAGAAGATCATACAAGGAAGATCATATGTACATACATACATATACAATTGTATAATATAAAATATCGTTAATATAAATCAAATGTGGAATAAAGATATAAGAGATATGTTCATATTTATTTTATTATTCATATTGTGTGAAAGAAAAAAAAATAATATATAAGAAAATTGCTACTATAATTAATTAAGAAAAATCGACTTATGTAGATCATGTATTTGAATTTCAAAAATATAGCAGAGATAAGATTATTATATTTACTTAAACAAATTTATTAAAAGCTGTTTATATTAATTACATTTTACATAATCATATTACATTTTATCAAAATAAAATAATAGCAAAGATATAAAATAATAATAAAAGAGATAATAGAAGAAAGTTATATATAATTAGTCAAAAAAAAAAAAAAAGAAAAAAGAAAATCATAAATCGTATAACGATGAAGAACTCGTATTTAAAGTATACTATTTATTTTCTAGTTTCGCAATGTTCCAGGTAAAAGATGAATTATGATAGCAACTGCAAATTATGCGTGGTAAATACTAAGGATAAGCAAGTTAACATCTGCTCGTTAATGAAAATTTTGCGTAGTTGTTCATATATGACGAGATTATTTCATGTTTTCTACAACACCGGTAATACATTTGGTTCGTTACAAAATTTTTCTTTTTTCTTTTAGTTTAACAAGAATGAATAGTATTAGCAATTTTTCAATTAAACTTGTAATCATTTGATGCTTAATCATTTTACTTTATTCTGAATTGCGATTTTATCTTAAAAGTATTTCTGGAATATTCTAATTACCTATTAAAATATTCGGTTTTACTTATATTTCTATAATTATTTTTCTTTATACATTCCTTTAATATAAGTCTTCCTTAATATTTTTTCATTCCAATCAATTTCTAAATTTTGCAATATATTACAATCTATTCTTTTAATTTTTTACCGTACAATATTATTTATAACAATATATACGAGTATTAGTTTCTTACAGGCAGTATAGTAACGCATGGGTAAATTCTTTAACTCTATTTTGATATTTAAATATTCAACATTATTATTTAATATCCATCTACCTTGTCAATTACAACTCAAACTATTTTTTTCCAATCGACATATTTTTTCCCGATTTAATGATTTAAGGTTTTCCGGACGATGATTTGATGACGATGAAAGATTATCATATAATATGATGCTGCAAACACTGTCGAATTATTTCTGCACGTGACACTTCCTGATACAAAGCGCTCGAATAATAATAATAAAAATGCTAAAAATGTTTATCGTTCCAAATTTTAAATTGACGTAAATTGAATGCTTAAAAAATTTGTGTAAACTTAGTCTAGACAAAAAAGAAACTTATCTAATCAATCCAAAATATTTCAGGATTTATTTTGTCACGTAAAAGATTTTATTACTCAATAAACGAATCAACCAAAGTAAAATATATAAATAATCGTATATTTCCGATTTATAAATAGTATAATATATAGTATGATTTTAATGACAGAATAGTATAGTATATAGTATGATTTTAAATTTATTTGAACGATATTCCAGATAAAAAGTAGAACGATATTCCAGAATATGCGTAAAAAATATCATGAAAATGCCCGATAAAATTATTATGTACTGCTTTTATCAGAAAGGCATTCTCAATATGATTCTTATCTCGAGACACACAGTCTAACATGTATTATTGTCAATCATAGTAATTTTATCGATTGCCGATATTAATCAAATTATTGACTATAGTACATTATTTTGTAATTTTTACTATTTTATAAATAATATTGCATCGTGAAATCCAGATAAAATTAATAATCAACAACTCTTAAAAATTATAAAACAAAAAAGTACAAATATTTTCCTAATCTTTAAGACATATTTAATGCAATATGTAATGTAATAGCGTCATAATTCTAAATTAATGAATTCAAAAACAATTTATATAATTTATGAAAGTATTTTCTATAAAATTAATTTTGTTTTTTAGACAAAAAGTCGGAATAAAGGAAATATTTTAAAAATACATGCTTTTTCAGGAAAATTGCATAAATTGCATAATCTACAAGTGAAAAAAAATGTTAGATAAAGATTGTTGCTAAATGCTTTATTACAAAGTTGTAGACAAATATTGAACATTGAATTGATTTGAAGTTTGATTACCATACTTTCTGATTTCTATTTATGGAAAACTCTGAAGTGAAAAGTGTTTAATTAAGTGAATAACTAGTTCAATGAATTAATAAGTCAGTTGTTGAGACAAAGTAAAATTTTATTAAAAGATATAGTAATTCTATATTACATCGACGTCAAGCTTGTGTGATAATACAGAAAATGATCATTTTGAAATGAGAATTTACGATCCTTATACATTAAGAAATATCTTATAGGTACAAAGGTATTCCAGCTATATTCAAAATTTTCCTACAGCTTTGTAACAAAGCGTTTATAAACTTTAAAAGCGTAACAAACTTCATATAACATTTTTTTTCATTTGCACTTAGATTACGCTCCTACAATTTTACTGGAAAGATACGAAACACTCTGATTTGTACAATGTAAAATATATACAAAAATAAAATATTCAATCAATTAAATGAAGGTATTTATAAGTATTTATAAGATTTTTATTAATCACAATCAATTGAAAACAGATTATGGCAATACTTTGAATACTAAACAAAAATAGATATTTTTTTACGAGTGTTGTATTATCTATTTCGCATACATATAAGATTATGTCTCCTTTGATAAATTATTGTACATTTTTTTAAATTTATATATAGTGCAATTTATGTTTGCAGGAATATAATAAAACAATACATATACTAAACAAGCTCAAATCAATAATGAAATACTTACACATATACATATATGTATAAACTATGCGTCATTAAAACAAATAAAAGATTCACAAACTATCACTTTAAAAAAATGAAAAAAGAAATATTCTTAAAAAATTATTATATCTGAATCTTAATTATTATATCCTAAAATTATATATATCTAAAAAACTACAAATTACTATAATTATAAAATAAGACTGTAAAAATTTCTGACTGTAATTTTAAATTATTATGATTCTATTTGAAATTTTATATAAATATTATTTATAATTAGTAATTTATATAACAATTAGTAAATATATAATTGGATGGAAGTTTTTGCTACACTAAAAATGAAATTAAAAACTAAATTTTATTTAACATATAATCCATCAAGAGAATGAAATTAGCATATGGAAAAACATTTTTCAGGTAAAGTATAACATTGAAATGTTTTATTTTCATAATACGAAATGAAAGAGGAAAGAGTGAATCTTTAAGATCCAAAGTAGAATAAAGATCATTATTTTCACTATTCACGACGATGATATTTATTCTTTTCTTAATCTGTGTTATTGTTTGATTTAATTAATGAATCGTGTAATTGCAAATTAGTTATTTAGCATAAATTCACTCATAGATGCTTATATGCTGTATAACTTTATCATAACGCAGTTATCTCACATAACTAATACGAGTAAATTGTACTTCATAATCACACGCCTAGATGCCTACTATCGGATAATCAGGGCATATCAAGGTTGATTTAATAGATTCCCATTGGCGTACATGATATAAAGATCTCACCTATAAAAATTCTGGATCATTGATCCTACGCTTATGATCGGCGAAGGCTGATATTCAGGCTAATGTCAGCAAAATTGAGATCATTGCTGATGCAAGTCTATATTCGAGTACCCTCAAAGTATTCAATCGCTTACATATTTCACTCGCTATCTTTCTTTCGACATAACTTTCATAAATTCGAAATATTCAAATAAAAAATAATTAGTTTAATATTTCATAAAATACATCCTTGATAATATCTTGAGTTGTTTTTAAAGGATCTTGCCAAAAAAAGAGTAATTTTCATTTTTTTTTCTTTTTTTGTTTATTAAAACTATTAATTACGTTTATGGAGCATTTTTTATCTGAAAATTAATATATCATGCAGAATCTTGAATTATGAAACAATAATATTTAAAATATTCAATGCTATAACGATCCTGCAACAATTTTGTTTCTAATTGGTTATTTTGTAGTAGCAAAATACATCTGAATATAGAATGTCTCCGTTTTTTTCAATGTAATCACACATTGTTAAAAAATAAGAAAAAGATATTGCAAACTATTAGCTTATTGCAAGCTAAAGATATTGTTCTTTAGTTATGACTATACTACGAGTTTTTATGCATCTATGAAAAATTTAAATATGCACAAACGCAGAAAGTACAAACAATATACATATAAAAATATATAAAATATCGAGAATAAGATACATTTAATAGAGGAAACAAATGTCTACTTAAGCTCTATTTCTCTAATTATGTGCGTAAAAATATAAAACTGCATAAAGTCTAGTTATGATAAAAAAAAAATATATATATATATATATACACACGAAATAGACAACGAACAGGTAACGAATTTGCATTACTACAATATGCATATATATATGTATGAATAAATGATACATATTTAATAGGAAAATTACATTTAATAGTTGTCAGAAGGTATTATAATACTTCTGTAACTGAAACTTCATTTTAAAATACTCATCATGCTTATCAAAAATTGGCAGCGATAAAAGAATTCATGTTTTGAAAATTATTTTGATTTTATTTCAATTCAGCGAATGAATAATTCTTCAGACCAGTTCATCATGCTTATTACAATTTTACTTGATACACTTTATCCTTCAAAACTTCTCAGAGATAAGAATTTAATGGAATAAGATCAAGAGATCTTGAAATTGCAATTGTAAAAGTATTATGATAATTTATGACTACTACACATTAAATGTAAGTATTCTTGATCTATATACATTATACTATAGTAGTGCATGCTGATTATCATTTATTTCATGTTCGTAATAATGTATGTATGTTTAAATAACATTTTTTATATGATTTATTTTGAATTCATAAAATAGACAAGGTTTAATTTAAAAAAAACTAGGATATCCATATATAAATTTGAAAGAACTAAAATATTTCAATAATAAATTAATACTCATCAAATCCATTTCATTAATATGTTTTATATTATCATGTTACTATTGAAGAATTTTTGTAATGCTCTATTTTGAATAAAAAATAATTTTACTTTTTAATTTAATTTTTATATAAAAATTGAAATATATAGCAAATATCTTATTTGCAAAGTGGCATTTAAATAACGTGATGTAAATTTATAGAAATATAAAATCTTTCAGAACTTTTTGATATAAGAATATTTATTACTTTAATCACAATTTTCAATAGATAACTAAATTGTCCATGATATCATAGATTTCTATCTTTTACTGTTATTACTGAAAATGATCTAATAGATCCATGTCTAATTGAGATAACATTTCATCGTCAGAGTCATTTTCAATATTGTTAATTGCATTACACATAAAACTTGAAGTTCTGGGAAGATCTTTTTCTGATAACTTTTCACATATTTCCTTCGAATCTAGTACAATTATGGATGCAGAATTTTTTGGAGATGTTAATGTATCTGCATTTTTAAATTGCAGTAATTTAGATCGTACCATAGAGGAACTTTTCATCTTTTTATAAGAAACTGAAGAAGCAGTTTCCTCCAAACATTTATCAATATCCACTTTTTCAGAAAATATATTGTTTAATCTATCAGATGTATTCTGTTTAGAAGAGATATTTATTGTTGACAAATGTCTAGCATTTGTTTGTTTGAAATTATGAGAAAAACATTTTTTTTCACTTGCATTTGGAACAAATTTTCTTATAGATTTGAATAAATCTGTAACTTTCTCTTCATTGTTATTCTGTGTATTTTTCTCTTGTTTTGGTAGTGACATTTTAAATTTTTGTTCTTTACTTTCTTCTTTTACATATTTTAAATTTCTGGACATAGAACCATTAAAATTGTTTTGATTTTGTAAATCTGTAATTTTATTGAAAGAAACTGAAAAAGATAAATCAGTATCAAAATTCATCGGTTCGTTCATATTCTTGTTTGTTTCATTCAGAATTGTAAAAAAATTTGGATCTTTTCTACTACTATTTTCTATACTGTTACACGTATTTTCCACAGTGAATTGACCATCATTTTCTAACAAATATTCCTTTAAAGCCATTGCAGTAGTGCAATCGTTTTCTTCTGTCTTTGTTCTTTTTTTTGAAATATTTTCAAAAATTGCTTCCATATATTCTGTACGTTCTATTGTACCTTTACTCGTATAAATTCCTAATAAACTAGAAGGTGAAATTAAAATTTGATATTTATTTGAAACAAACGTTCCAGAGATTCTTAAAAGGCCTACATCATGTAATAGGACAACAACATTACATTCTAATAAACCAGGATATTTAAGTGGTATATTCTTGTGCAGAATTCCATGAATACTGTCCGTGAAATCTTTCAAAACTATAGGAGGATTATCATGACTATAATCTATATGTTCTACTATTCCTGCCAAAAATTTAATTTTTGTACTATTGAAACCATTCATATTTGCTATTTGTTTAATTGTAGCGATATCATGGCCTTTCAAAAAACCATCTGGCAAATCATTCAACATTAATTGCCAAGCACCTTCTGTAAACAAATTTTTTGTAGTTTGAGAACAATATTCAGATAAATTATTTGAATCATTCTTTTTATTCATTATGTCGCTTTCTTCTAAATTATTTAAATATGAAATACATGTTATATTCGAGTCTATATCATCTGGTAATAATCCAGCTGGACCAGGAAATTTTCTGACTAATGTCATCTTTTTATTGGACTTTACTTGTGGAACTTTAAAAAAATTGCTTTTTGTAATATCATTTTTGGCTTGTATATTATCTATAGACTTTTGCTTTAACATATTATCCAATAATTGTTGTTTTGAATTCTCAAATAAAGATGAATTAGGATTATCACTGTTTGATCTGTTTTGAATTTCAGAAATAGCTTTAGAGATTTGATATTCTATTTCATTATTAAATGATGTATTTTCTGTTTTTTCATCAATTTTCGATGCAGTTTGTTTTAATTCTAAATTCTTTATATTATCTTTTATAACACCATTCTGTGCAGTTCGATTTTTGAGAATTCCAAGTACTAAATTTTTTCTGGGTAATTGATTATTTTTACAGTTGTGTATTTGATTAATAGAAATGTTTGATAAAGTGTTGTTACATGTCCTTTTTGGATCATTTAACGCATCTTTAAATTCATTCTTATTTTGTAAATTCTTATTAAATATCCCAAGAATTAAATTTTTCCTTAAATCTTTGTTTTCATCATATTTCTTTGTAATTTTGTTTAAACTATTTTCTCCACAAGATACATCACAGTTAGATGCAAATATTAGATCATTCTTCATTTCTATTTTACGTCTTTTAGGTTCACTTTCTTGATTGTCTTTTTGAGAATAATATTTATTTGTTTTATTATCTACATCGTTCAAGAATTCCTAAAAAAATTATTTATACAATTGCTTTGTGATATGAAAACAATTTCTAAAAGAATTATTTATACAATTGCTTTGTGATATGAAAACAATGTTTAAAAATATTATAAATTTTACATGCATATAATTAAAAGCATACAATAATATGGAATAATATAAAATAATATTAAAATTTTTTTTTATAATTATAAAATTTATAATATAAAGTATATTATTTCTCTAAAATATTCTTTTAATTTACCTGATCAAGATCCCAATCATCACTTTCAAACATTTTTCTCAAACATTAGTTTTACTTTAATATATTTTTAATTTATAACATTTATCTTTATTTATTTTAAAGATTAATATAATAACAAATATATAGTATATTTAACATTTCGTCTCATAACATTTAACATTTGTAAAATGTCAAATATCTTAACCATTGACTATGTAGCAATAAAGATGGTGAACTTTGAAGAAATTTAATTAAAATGGCATTCATTCCAGCGGGTAGTTTGAATAGAAATATAACTAATAATGTATATTGATTTATTAAATTTGAATAAACAACATAAACATAATTATCCACTGTGAGTAGCATATAATATACATAATGTGCTTATGTAAGGATATTTTAATTTCTATACAACATAGCTTTTGCTGTGTCATCTGCTGTTTGTTTATCAATCAATTTTTCAGCAATAGCTAAACTAAAAGCAAATGCAGTTGCCGGACCTCTGCTTGTAATCAAGTTGCCTAAAATATTTATAATATATATAAATAATATTAAATAATATTATAAATGAAACTTATAAATAAAAATTCTCATAAATAAAATATTTTTTAAGTAGAACTCTATAAATAGATGTATACCATCGATTACAACTTTATCTTCCAAATATTTATAATAATCTGTTAGTTGATCTTTCATTGCAGGATAAGAGGTGATCTTCTTTCCTTTTGCAATACCATGAATCTTTAATGCAGTTGGTGCAGCACAAATAGCAGCAATAAGTCTGTTTTCTTGTTCTTGCTGTTGTAATAATTTCCCTACTTCTGAAGACTATTCGAGGCAAAAGAAAAATATAATTAGCATATACATTCATTACAAAAAACATTAATTTTATTTACATTTGCGAATGCCTTTGAACCATTCAGACCACCAGGCAATATTACAACATCATATTTTTGATTAACTGCATCTGAAAGTTTTGCATCAACACATATTTTTACATCGCGGCTGCATTTGACACATGGGTTTTCAGTAAGACCAGCAACAGTAACATCAATCTAAAAACAAAATTTTTAATAATTAAAGATTTAAGATTAATATTTTTTTCAGGAACATTTGTTTATAAAACAAATCAGAATTAATTAATATTTGAAAAAAAGGAAGCAATTTTTTAATAAGTAGTACAATTTTATTTCTATTTACTAGGAAATTTTACTTCTTGGAAATTACTTTTTATGGAAACTTCACTAGAAAATATAAAATAAATATTTAAGGTTATATCCAGTAAAAATACTTACTCCAACTCGTCGTAAAACATCCGTTGTTATTACTGCTTCCATTTCTTCAGAACCATCAGCTATTAACAACAGTGCCGTTTTTTTAGACATCTTTGCAGTATATTTGACTTTATTCAAATATGAAACTATCGGACTGCAAACTGATTGCGCAAAAGTTGGAAAAACACGACGTAATATTGACATGTATAACTAGACGTTAATAAAGATAAAAGAGGTTATTTGCACGAATGATACTCAATGCTGTTAAATATAAATCTTATGAGTTTAAATAAATATTTCATATATTATTTTTTTCTTAGTTTATAAATAATAAAAATACGAAAAGTAATAAAAAAATTAAACTTTGAAAATATCGTTCCTCTAAATTCAAATTTTTATAAGTAAACAATAATTTTTTTTATAAATTCTGAAAGAAATTATTACTAATTAATCATATTGTTAATAAATTCAAACTTATTAGTAAATTAAAATTAAATTAAATTAAAAACATTGATAAGTATGGTGATAAAATAAACAAATCTTTCAAAGTAAATTTTAAAAATTACAAATCGTAAGGTTATCCTTTCGATAATTATGAAATTATAAAAATTTCTGATCCATAACTTGCAACATTCAATTTCTTAACATTATTGAGAGATCTGTTTTAAAAAAATCTACATTAACAAAATAACGTAGCTGTGTTTTCGGAAAATCATAAATTCAAATTGATTTGTTACAAAACTCAAATGTTCTTTTCATTTTTTTTTTTTTTTTTTTTTTTTTTTTTTTTTTTTTTTTTCCTTTTAATTTCCCATTTT